CTTTGCACCTATAATCTCACCAAGGATGCGTGTCAAGTGAGTTCATCCTCGTTCTAATCCTCGTGGACTCCTGCGATCTTATTGCTTCAAATCTATCGAGCACGATAGAACTTGTACATATTGCAAGCGGCATTTCCCGACAAAACATTTGTTCGTTGCACAGGGGGATTCCGGGGGTCCGTTGGTCATAAAAAAGGACGGGAGATTAGTGCAGATTGGAATAGTTTCCTTCGGGCTCGGATGTGCTTCTGCTCCAGGAGTATACACCAAACTCTCCCGTAAGTAGTCTCTTTTTTTTCACCAACACTCAATGACGTCAGTGAAATGAAGACAAAATGAAGACAAGGAACTCGAAGAAGCCGCTCTTCTTTCCTCTTTTCCCCCGATATGTAGACTACTTGCCCTGGATCCGTGACAACACCATGAATGCCATTTACTGCAGTGGAGGCTACACGGCATAAAGCAAAATGGAATAACCATCGCTGTTTTTTTTCGGTAAATATATACTAAGTTATAGATTACAGATTCGATGATCTAAGTGCATCGTTGGAACTGAAAGGAATGGAGTTCATCCTTGCATTCGCACCAGCGAAGCAAGGCTGCTTTGCTAGTACGTGATTGTCGATGGGAACTTCAACTGGTTTCCGTGACGACACCATTATTGCCATGCTAAATGATCCAAACAACAAAAATAAATGTTGCGTGACGAACGACAGGTGCAGGTCAATGGGAAGTTACTCGAGAGAGGGCATCGGTTAGTTGGTCACCAGGTATTCAGGGTATCTGTTGGTTTTCTCCTTACGTTTTCTACTTGAAAGGAACGGCAGCGCATGCACAAAACGTTTCGAACTCTTGGTCATGAGTGGATGTGCTCCAGTGGATTTCAAGGCACCTCTAATTCCCTATTTATAAGGGGTGATTACAATTTTTTAGGGTTTCGGTTCGTTAAATCCTTTATTGTTTTTATGTACACTTATCACTATTTCATATCTTGCGAGTACTGATTATGATCAAAACGGGTATTGATTGACGATTAAAAATAGCGAACCATTGCAAGCAGGAACTTCAGAGCACCATGAAGGTCATTGTGAAATTAAGTAGCATACAAAGAAGTTGCCAGATGGGAAAAGAGAGAGGGCGGTGAAAGTGTGTTCCTGACTTCGCTACCCCTGCCAATTAAGGTACCAGAGGTGGGAGACGATTAAAAATAGCAGGGGTGAGATTAGACATGGGCAACCCTAGAGACCCCAAACGAATTCGCTGCCTCAGCGCAATTGCCACCAATCACGAGACAAGCTCTAACTGTGCTGCGTCGAAGGTCAAGCCTTCGTTGTCCCCTCAGATTTTTTCTTTGAGATCTCGCAGGTAGAAGCTGTGACTCTCGTTAAGTTGTGCTGAGGTTTTTTGTTTTCTTCCGCAAAGAAGTCCTTCTCAAGCAGCAAACTGATTCCGTATCGACCATTACGAACCTTCCCAAAGGGGCATATGTTATTCTTCTTGTGGTGGAAAGACGTTTCGCTGGTAATTGTTAAAGCGCCCTTTGATACTTTAAGGGTGACATGCACCAGATCTGTTTAACAGAAACTAATCTGATCTCACAATAGTCCTTTATGGGAATCGGATTGGAGGAAATAATCTTATTCCCATAGACTCCCATTATGAAACCAGAGCAGTTTAAAGTTGAACGGATCAAGTGCATGTCACCTTTAATTTTGCTGGCCACGTCATGCGACCACACCTTCCCACATATATCATCCGACATGGACCGTATACCGGGTGGCCCAAAAAAAAAAGTGAGGCCACTGCAAATTTTTACCTGTACATATTAAGAACGAAGATTCCAAATATCACAAAAACAGTTTGACAAAGCCTACCATTCAGTGTCATTGACACAAGCATGTGATGTTCGATGTGTCCTCCCTGCGTGGCGCCACTTGTTGATGCTGCGGTCAATGAAACGTTGTGACAGTTGGCCTCACTTTATTTGGGCCACCCGGTATATCATCCGACCGTTTCATTCTACATGGAAGTTTATTTCCTGCTATTATTCTGCTTGTCACTGCTTGCAATGCCCATATTTAATATTATCTAGTGCTTTTTCTCGTGCGAGATTCGCGAAGCCGGAGGCACCAGCTAATGTAAAATCCCATTCAACTGTGCTCTGTCATGTCTTCCAAGATGTAAAAACTCTTTCTTATAACCAGAGGAAACAACAAGGTTTGAATGGATCCAATCTGCAGCGGCGATCAAAGGCTGGATATATTTACGAGGGATGTTTACAAAGTTCTGGGAATTTGCGCGCTAATTTTTTATTAGGCTAATTTTCTTCGATATTACAGTCCAATTTTTAAACATAATCACCATTTAGCTGTATACATTTGTGCCAGTGAGTGACTACTTTTTTTTTAGCCCATCTTCAATGAACTTTTGTGGAGTACGTTCTATCCACTCATTTATCGCTGCTTTAACTTCAGATAGAGACTCAAAATGGATTCCTCGAAGAGGTTTCTTTCCCCAAACAGATGGTAGTCACTAGGAGCCAGGTCTGGAGAATGGGGCGGGTGTGGCAGCAATTCTCAGTGCAGATCTGACAAAACGGCCTTTGTAAGACGAGCAGTGTGCGACCTCGCATCGTCTTGCTGCCGTAATGGTCGGGAATTGAGCTTTCCTGGCCGTTTTTCTCGAGTACTTCACGCGGTGGTCCCTTCAGCAAGTCAGAGTAATTTTGTGCATCTATTGTGGAACCTTTCTGTAGATAATCAATCATGATTATTCCCTGGCAATCCCAAAACACCGTTATCATAACCTTACCAACTGTTGGCATAGTCCTTGCTTTAAGCGGAGGGCCATCAGAAGGTCGCCCCCATTCCATGGACTGATTTTTATTTGTGGATTAAAGTAAGGTATCCAGGTCTCATCTGTCGTGATGATTCGTTGCCAGAAACTATTCCCATATTGTTCCTGTAGAGCCAACAACTTGGAACAAACCTCCACACGATTGAGTTTCTGTTCTGGCCCCAACAGCCGCGGTACCCATCGTGCTGAAACCTTGCTCACTCCAAGACGGTCATGTGAAATTTCATGAACTTTTCTGTAACTGATGCATACACTTGCTGCATTCTCACGAATGGTGATTCGTCTGTCTTCCATTAACTTTTTCTCCACAGCGACGACATTTTGTTCGTTAACAGCAGTGTTTGGTCGACCACTGCGGGGGTCATCTTCAAGGCTCGTTCTTTCACTCTTAAAGTGATCGATCCAGCAATAGATGGTACTTTTAGATTCAGAAGATTCACCAAAAACAGATTTCAAACGTTGAATAATTTCAGACGTCCTAACACCCTCCTTCCATAAAAAGAAAATAGCTCTTTCAGAATTTACCGCGTCTTCCATGACTGACAAAGTGTACCCTACGCGAACATTGATAACTTCTTACTGATGCATGCTCAGTGAATAATACTTTGAAGTCGTGTTTATGACAAGCCTAAGCATGTGTGACCAACTTTGCTTTGATCAGCCTTGCAGTGATAGAACAAAATTCCTAGAACTTTGTAAACACTCCTCGTACTTGCACAGAGACCTGAGAGTCGAAAATATTAATAGAAAGCTTAATAGGAATGTATTAGCGTAACTGAAACGGCTTATTGCTTCTTAAGATGGAAATGTAAACTGATTCCTATTATTGATCAGGATCTCTACTTGAGAAATATATGTCCTAATTTCATCATCCTTGCCCTTGGGAACTCTTCTTTCGTAGCATTTTGAAGACTAAACTTTGAGTTTGTATTTAGTATTCCAACTGAGTTTAAAAGAGGGATAACCGTATCTACAGATATATACATATTTTTTCTGTGAAGTTCAGACAAAATCCGGTAAAATTTATTCTGAAGCGCCCGTTGAATAAACGGACAAACTATATTCGCGTCTAAAGTTGACGACAGCTTAGGTTTCTTCATCGTTATACCGCGATAGCGGCATTTTCAACAAAAAGCACGAATACCAAGACAAACTGGACGAAGAGGCACTACTCATATTTGACACTTCCAATAATGGTTTTAAATAGAAGCGACAAGATACCAACTGGTGGGTCTTATCTCAAGGAATATTTTAAAAGTTCAACACAAAGACAGATTCACCATGAGTAGCATAACCATCGTAGGCAGGTCACCACTGTGATTTTTCTTTTACCGCCAGGTTTATGGTGGATTGCAGATATTGATGGATGGCAGATTTTTAAATGTTTTTTAAATGACCTATTAGGATAATACCGGTATTTTGTCTTCGGCTAACTGGACACTGAGTCAAATATACGTGTAGAGAAATGGCAAAAAAAATCGACTTTTGACCCAAATATCTCTGCTAAAAATAGAGATTTTTTCGCGAAACTTTCACGTTTCAGGCGAGAGTATGTTTCTAATTTATTCTCAAAATTTAATTAGAATTTGTTAAGCTGAAACAATACTATCAGCAATTATGGAAATGAAGTTAGACATTGAGAACGAACAAGAGCTCCTGTTGGCAGTGGGGTGAAAGGAACACTCCTGCGCTGTCCTTGGTCATTAAGACTGCGTCGAACTCTTCCTCAATTTAAACTCATCATTTGGGCTGGTCATCTCTTGGAGATGGTTTTCATGAGCTTATTCCCAATGAATATCAGATAAATCAGGTAGTATCAATCCAGAGAGTTTTCTCAACCTCCTCGCTTTCCATGATGCTCTGCTGGGAAACATACCGTACAAGAGTCTTCGTGGATCTAGGATCCTCTCACCAGGTATTAGAGTTGAATTATTGCCAAAGTCCCAGTAATCGAAATTTTGGAATACAGGAAATAGGTATTCATCTCCAGGGCAAGTCGGAAATCAAGGGTCTATTTACTGTAGCATTTCTGGAAACCAACATTAGCAATTTTACATTTTTCTTAAATCTGACATTTGTCAACTGTTGCTTTGGCTTGATATTTATGAAAATACCAAATAGAGTAGTAAAAAATAACACGACTCTGCAAGGGAAATAGCAAAGTTGTTTCTGTATTCCATCCAGGAGCCAAAAAGTGAGATGTTAATTTTTCCGACTCTCCTCATCAGCAGACCTACTGAAGAGGGGACTGCTAGGGTTGGGTGTTTTTGATGGAAGCGAGGGCCATGAGGCACTTGTCCCTCCATCCTCTCCGCTGAGGGAGAGATGAGATGGGCACTCGTCTCTCCAAGTCCTTTGTCACCATCTCCAGCGTCTCCCCCTTCATGCTCGGCACCGGACCGAAGTCCTTCGCCACTCGCAAAATCATCTCCCCATACTTCTCACAGTATTCTCCCATCCCTGCCCAAAAATAAGAGCGGATGAGACCCTAAGAAGAGGGGAGCAAGACGAACACTCTAAGGGCAACATCCTAGGAAAAAAAGCTCCGTACTACCCCAGAGAATTTTCTCGAGGAACTCATCCAGTCGTGGAGATGGCTAGAGCTCTTACAGAGCCAATACATGTTCCATAGAGTTCACAGAATCTATACGAGGTGTCCTTTCGTTGGCCTAATTAAACCGATAATTTATCTGTCTTCCAATTGTTTCTTCTAACTATCATGAGCCTGATGAACCTATTCCCCTAATAAAAGCAAAGTTCGTGGCAGATACCAAGAATTCATGGTCACTTTGACTCTCCGCACCAATCAACTAACTACCTTTTCTAGCGATATCTCTTGAAAGTTCGCTCCTGTTCATAGAAATTAATGAGAACTTAGAGATGGATTCATAAAGTTCTTCTGCCAGAAATAAATAATAATAAAAAAATAAGGAATGCCACATCATTCAAAATTAGCTCTGCATTATGGGAGAAGAGAGGACCATGATCATTGAAGAAACAAGCTAGTAGTTTTGAGAAATGAAGATAGATATATATTGGCGGTGATGGGAGAGAGAGGCGATGAGATCCTAATTGTGACTGAAGCCAATTAAAGGGCACCCTGTCCAGTTGAAAGGATTCTTGAGGAAAATTCCATGAAAAAATTCTCTGAATTTGTTTAAATATCAATAGGGAACTTTTAGGTCTATAGAAGAGTTGAGACCCTGAGCATTGAGGTGAGCCGTTTCCAAGGGTCCCAAGAAGGCATATCGCATTCCCAGTCCTTCACTCATCACCGTATCGATCTCACTCGGTTCCAATATCCCTTCCTCCATCAAACGCCAGCATTCTGTTATTATCGCATACCTGAATCGCGAGGGAAGGAAAGCGTTATCCTGCATGTACGATCGGACAGTCATACGACAAGAAAAATGGCGAGTCAATGAATGTTTCGTTAACGACTCACTGGATTCTGTTGAGGACGAAGCCATCCTTTTCCTTTTTGAGAACCACGGGCTTTTGTCCGATTTGGATCATGATATCGCGAACCTGCTGAGTGACGTCGGGATGCGTCCAAGGAGCAGGCACGATTTCCACCAGGGGGACGTAATAGGGCGGATTGACGGGATGGGCTACGATCATGCGAGCCTTCTTCTTCAGCCCCTGCGTTAGTTTGGATGGGACGATGGAACTCGTGGAACTCGCCACTATGCATCTTTCCCCGTCCACCAGCTCATCCAAACGAGTGAGCACTTTTCGCTTCAGTTCCAGGTTTTCAGGCACGCATTCTTGCACGTATATGGCCCCCTTCACGGCATCTTCCAAGTTGGTGTTCCCTGCATGGAAGTCCTACTGGGTGCAACTTCGCCGTGTATCACAGGCAAAAAAAAAACAAGCAGCATGCATAGAATTTATCGTGTCAATTTCGATCGAAATCGTCGATCTGGTATGGAGAAACTAAGTATTTCCAGCAGGGATTCGAAAGATACTGGAACGAATGCATTCAATGTTAGTTGAGGGGAGGGGGCTAGGTCAAGGCAGTTTCATTATTTTTTTACACATTGAAGTTCATCGATTCCCCCCCCCCCGGCATCTTTTAAATGCATACATCGTATCTTCCTCAGGTAGAGAATACAAATATTGCCTACGAAAGTAACGCGTCCAAAACTGCGTTCTTTGTGCACAGTTGTTACACAATAGCGGAAAGGACTGTAGCACCACCCGCGATCAAGTTCTCGACGAATCTCAAATCGAATCATGAAAAAAAAAATCCTGATATTTATAAGCCATAAAACCAATCAGGATATTCTTTTGGAAATTGAACGAATCAAACTCAATTTGAATCTTTCGCATTTCGAATAAAAAGCGAAGCGATGTACGACTATGTATGGATAGAAAGAGGAGATGTTGACATTGGCAGAACTCTAGTGATTCACGTGCAATCCTATTTTCATTCCCACCATGACCTCTCTAATGAGTTTGGCTTAGCATTCGAAAATAAATAAATATGTACATAGCTTATATGAGCAAAAAGATTCGAGTCATTTTACTACAGGATCATTCCTGTCGTAAACATTCCCATTTAGTCAAATCCCGATCATTTTCGGGTGATATAAATCGAGTTAAGAATGGAATCTTGTTCTTTGGTAACGAATCTCAAGTCACATCGTGAATCCTGAATCTAATCGATTACTTGTTATTCGAACGCAATCGCATCAGGATTCGGTCTTCTCTGACGTTTGCATATTCCTGACAGAGATGTCGTTTCTACTGTATACAGTCGTAATGAGTGTTGAGCTGGAGTCCGTGAAAGGTCAAGGTCGTTGTCAGGTGCCGGAGCTGAAGTTTGGATCCTACATGGGATGCTGGCTTCACATATCATACTCGTGTCGCTCTGCAAGCTTCTTATCACCAGGAGCGTTTCGTTGGAGAATCGCAAATAGCAAAGGAAATTGCAGCAGACACAGAGAGTATAATAGAGTACCTGTTCGTTTTCGTGGTGGGTAATCGTCGATTACTATAGACGGGGACTGGATAGAGCCCGAAGGTAAAAATGCATGTACAAAGAAGGAAAGGAGTAGCTGTGGGCTAAGGCAGTTCTTAAAGGAAACTCTTGCTATGGAAACGATATTTAAAATTTTAAAAAGTCGTGCGCGATTTCACGCTGGCATTGATGATTCAAACGAAACTACGATTATCATTTTCCTTTCGCTATGACTATATACCAAAGAGCTATGAGATTCCTTAAATGTGGTTGATGCATCCTAGCATTTTCCGGATCGGTATTTGTGAATCTTTCGGCAAACGCAAATAAGAATACATTTCCACAAGTAATTTGACATCATGATGAGACTGCAACGCTAACCCAGACGGCATGAGGCAAAAACGTATGGTACGGGATTCAAACATAATTCTGACCATCCTGGTCCTGTTTTCTTTGATCAATATGTTAGAAGTAGCATTTTCACGGGTCACCGTGTGTGAATGAATTACCGGCGCCCCATGAGCCTCTCCTATTGGGGAGAGTTAGAGGATCGGAGGCCTCCAAGAATTCCTCGAGGAATCGTCTGCATGACTCACCCTACGCTTCTCCTCTGCTCTTTTCAGGCTCTTTCCCACTCAGGTGAAAACGGGAAATCTCCCGATCTCCCAGGACTGCCTTATGAAGTGGCTATGATCGGGGATCGATGTGAACTACGGCAGTCATGCAATCAATCCAAACGACTAAGAGGTTTTATTCATTCTACGAATTCATCTATGCCATAGTAAACGGTTGCATACAAATGCATGAAGCTTCTTCACCTGGGTCATTCTTTCTGGGAACGTTCCCGTGTCATTTCAATCACAAGGACATCGTACATTTACTACCCCTTAAGCTTCCCTGATATCATCAGAATTTATTACTTCCATCAGGAAAAACTAAAAAAAAAGACCTGAAAACTGGTCCTGAGATTGTCCTGCTGATAGATATCCATCATTCCATTCGAGGTCGCAATTATTCTGATCACGCCCTCGTCCTGAAGGTTTGCTTCGTTCCTGAGACGGCCGACGAGTCGAACAGGATAAAGTGCTTTTCTATTACCGTACGTCTTCTGCCTGAAGGTTTTGCGTAAAACTTGACATTAGGACGTACCGGTACACATATTGGATTGTCTCAGATGAGGGAATTCGATTCTGAAAAGATTTCTCGTAAATTTGAAATTTGACTACTTGGGCGAGGATTGCAAGACCCAATCAGATCCATAACCTTCATAATATTCTTTCATATACCCCGTTTCAAATTTGTATTCGAACTTAGAAGGATCATCGGTGTTATTCAAAATTTTTTCAGATATCACAAAAAGATGCAAATAGGACAGACCAGAGATGAGTTGGAATTGTTGATTCTTGTTCAAATCCCCTCGGAGAAGCCCAGCATTGTCGATTTCCTCCAGTTGCACTTGGATATCCAGCAGGGCTTTTGGGACTTGCTCTCCGTCCACGTCGTAAAGACAGACTCGATATCCAGCGCTGGCGAAGAGCATGGCCCAGCTCCGACCGATCAGCCCACTGGCCAAAATCGGTCACAGAGCTCAACGACGATCGAGCCAGAATGCCTCGGGATGCAATACCATAAGAGCAAAGAAAAAGGCCGGGACGAACCTGCCCACAATGGCGACTTTTCCCGTCGGGTGAGAGGCCATGGCACTCGATCGAAGAGAGACGACTGCAGCGGCTTGGCGAGAACGAGGGAGAGAAGGCACGTTGCCTTGCCAGGGAGTGTAAGGGGAATGGAGCGCCAGCGCTGCAGACATGCTCAAAGTCCTGCGCGAAGCCATCCGTAATTCATGTCCCCTCACTTGCCAACCTCAGCCTGACTCGTACTATCCCTTGAGCATAGAATAGGGCTTCTCTCCATTATTTCATAAAATTTGCCTCATATTAACCTGGCCCCCGAAAAATGTTACTCTCTCTCTGTGGTACTTTCATAATAGTGAAAGAATAATGCAAAGGGCTTGCATTTGAGGTATTCCCTTCAGCCTTCAGAGCTTCCTTCCTTGCTGCACTCCTCTCTACGATCAACTCTAAAAAAGATTAATGTCAATAAGCGCAGCCTCAGCTTTTCTGTCCATCTCTAAGAGGGATGACATCACTCCAGTAGAGAGGATTCTGTTTATTGCTGAAGCACTACGCCCGCTGAGTGAGATCTTTCTATCCCGATTCCCGACTTGATCCTGTCTCCTCTCTCGATTGTCTGCAAGCTATTGTCTCAGGAGAGATCCAATGTGGTAAATTTCCATCGTTTTTGCGTTTTCTGATCACTTCCTACGCACAGTTGACGCGCGCAGTGCACATCTCCTCCTCTAAGTCTACTTGCACAAACTCAACTGCCCAAGTCACCCGCTGACCGCTTCTTCGAATTGTCACACAATTGGAACAGTTTCTCGACATGATCTTCACGAATCTTGTCCAAGAACACCCAACCTCTGTCAAGGACACTAATCATGCCCTTTCTTCCCTTGCATGTCAAGTCGAACCGGTCAACGCGTGCGACAATTCCTTTGTCCCCTATGGATATCACACTCTCTCTTATACTCTCTTCTTCGTTTGACAGAACCTGTTCTAAATGGAGCACTTTTTCTTTCAGTGGTTCCAACTGCATATAAATGAGTGATGTTGCGACGAGCATGGATATCATGAGTCCCTCCTGAATTCCTTCCACGGACTTTTAATTCATTCCCTTCTTTTCTTACGCGTTGATGATATTTTTGGCGTTTCTTCTACTCCGATGTCGGACAATTCCCCTTCATTCAAGCTGTCTCTTCTACGAACCACTGTCTGCGTTTCACCTCTCTCATCAGCGACACTTCTGCTTTCTCGCCCGACTTCACGATCATAGTATCACCTCCCCTCGAATGGATTTTTCTTGACATCTGGAAACTTACAGGTTCGCATAGATATCTAGCATTCATCTCCTCTCAGCCTTACCTATCCATTAAGTCCCCTATTCCCCTATTCTCAATTTCTTCAAGATCCCGTCAGCTTTCCGACTTCTTCGTTCGATGTGGCATCCATTTCGAGCAGGCCCGCAAGGTTTAAGACGGAGTCAGCCGTTTCTGTCCAACAGCATTACCAACCATCTCGTCCAATGAGCCTTCGACTCTCATCTCTTCCAGTCAACATTCGTCCCACATCCTCAATGTGAAAAACCTTTATCCTAGCCCATAATGTCACTAACATCATAAAAACCAACTTTCCAATTCTGTCTGGACCCGACCCTGCCGTCGTCTCGCTTGCCGGCGTGACATATAAATAACTTTGTTTGCCCGTTCCAAACTTTGACTCCCTATAGTCCACCTGGTACCGTCTCTTGGGATCGTCCACGTTGTTTCACGTTGTTTCATGCTTCCTTCATTTCCTCCTCCCTCTCCATCAAAGTCCCCGAGGGAAATGTCAAGATCTCGCAACATTTTACATGTCGCACAAAGGATGCTATTTAATCTGCTTTTCCAAAATGTACATGAATGGAACTGGTCGACATTTGGGTGATCGTTTCGTGAAGTCTGTACTATCTCTTCTGGACCGATTCCATCACACTTGCCTTCCCAGTAATTTTATGTACGTTTCAGGAAATGACTAGCGAACTGTCGTTGAATATCATAAAAAAGATGCCCATTTTCAAGCTTGCGATCATACAACCATAATGCAGTAACTGATCTCTCCTCATATGAAAATGGACTGGTATGTACCATTGCTAAAAATAATGTTTTCAGTGAGAGAAATATAATGCATGCAGTGAGTGACGGTGGACTTTGTGCCTACCCTGTATATTTCCTTTAAATTGAAAACGATCATTTTACAGAGCAGGCATACACATGGCGTCAATGCTGGCGGTGGTGTCACATTCGAGTTGAAAAGCCTCGAATTCATGGAATCTGGAATCATTCCCCCTTGCAACGAGAATAGTTTAAATACGAGTCCAAGGCCTGCGTGGGGAATCCAAAGCCGAAGAGGAAGCCCTTAAGTTCTAGGATCTCGTCCAGAACTTGGGATGTCATGGATTCGGAATAAGAGGCCATATATGATGTTCGGGAGAATCTTTTCCGGAGGGCCTTCCCCTCCAAATGCCGTCCCAGGCATTCCAGTCGCCCGCGATCCGCTCTCATGCCTAGAAAAGCCAGTATTTTGCCGAGTTCTTTCCTCCAATCCAGAAGTAAGTTCTCGTAGAAAACGAGCATGACTTTCCCGTCGAAGTTCTCAATCCATGTCTCTGCTTTCGATCGCCAACTGCCTTGCCATTCGCTGAATTTTCTCTGCCACTCTGAGAAAAACAGAAGAAATGTGATAAGAGCAGTTTTCAGTAACAGGACTGAAATAGAACCTCCTCCCTTGCATCACTCTTGGAGGTTGGAGAACTAAGTAAATTCATAAGTTCATCTCATTGCGAAGGACGACAGATTCTTTCGTACATTTGCAAGACTTTATCGCTTTTTTCGGCCCATTCACCAGGCGTCAATAACCCATTGTCGCCAAATATTTTCCAATGTTTTCGGTGGGGTGATATCAGTCAGATAGCGTGGATTATGCAAAGAAAGCTGATCGAAGCTGTGCCCTGCGAAAAAAATTGCCTACTTTCCGTGCTCTTTCTTTCCCTCATCTCTGTTTCTTCATGTGTGCCTATGTACGAGCCTGTCATGATTTGCATGCATAACTAACTCTAGAAAATTTCACGCTATAAATCGGTCAGCAGACCGATCGGCTCCAACTGCTGTTTTTGGATCACCACCCATCAGTGCAACGAGGAACAGAGTGCCGATTCTTTGCGAATGCAAGATGTCCTTTAATGCTGCGGGGTCATCGCTATGTGTCACGACTCATTCGAGACTAAATGAAAGCAAAATTCATGAAATATGCGAAGAGACCTTTGCGGGATACTTCGTCTGAGAACATTCGCATAGTGAGAAACCCTCAGATTCGTAGTGAGTGGAAGTATATTCACTGTTTGCCATAGGACGGGTGTACGATAAAAAGGCATGATTTTTTAATAAATAGTTTTTGAGACGTCGGCAGTTGGCACTTTTTGAGCATGAAGGTTAAAAAAATGAAGGAAAGAGGAGTGCAAATAGCATTCGAACGCCTTTTTTTCAGCATGCGAAACGTGGGAAATTTTGAAAGACCATCGCAGTAAAGAGGTCATTAATTGTCTTAATTGCAAAAGATGTCATCTATGCGTGGAAATTGTTACCGATTGAAAGGAAATAAGTGAATATCTTCATTGGTGCCAACATTATGGCCTTGTAAGATCAATCGTGGTATTATACAATGACCTTTTACTCACTAGTACATTCCCAAACCCGAATGGCCAGATGAAAGAGTCAAACGTCAAGTCCACTTTTCAGCCCGATGCAATGCCTATAAATCTCGATTAACACGCCTTCAGACACTCCATTGGTAAGTGCCAGGAGCTCTGGAACGAGGTCTCCATGACTCGTTGGCATTGAGGATAATAAGGTGCCAAGAATGCAGTCTTAGCTATCTCGCCTTAAAGCCGTCATCCAGGCCGGTGGCGAGCACACACTATACTCAGATTTAAGCTGTAAATTTGGAATTGAATACTTGATACAAAAATAAAGCCTATTCTGCCTCACGGTCTCACAATTCAGCTTCTAAAGGGAAGGATGAGGTTTCGTGGCATCCTGTATACGTAGATCTATCGAGGTAGGGGGAAGAACCAGGGTTGGAACGAATGACTGACGTGTGTCGTTCGGTGTGGGAAGCGGGACATCTTGTGTGTGTCTGCTTCCTCTGGCCGTCATGAAAGAGTAAAAAGACAAGTAGGCTCGGAATGGGTTCCGAATCAGCATCAGCGCTCTCCCTTCGAACATCTCCACGTCTCCCTCTTCATGAGTCTTCTGCAAAATTGTTTGTCCGCTCCATTCTTCCACTCCTTCCCCCAGGAAGCCTACGCACACGAACAATAGTCTCCTAATCGCGTTGCAGAGGGCTGTAGGTCCTACGGTTCGACTCGAGGGAACCGATGAGGAGCGCCACAGCATAATAACGAAGGCAGAAACTTTCAATCATAGCCTGTTTTCCCTGAGGCTGCATGCCGTAAAGGTCATCCGTTGAAATCTGACCTGTGCAATCTAAACGATTCGACTGGATTAATTTTGCTTTTTGGGATGGCAAGGTCTTCAACGATTCAGGGTTATTTTATGAGTATAGAGAGGCTTCTGTCAGCTTTAAAAATCCTTCCGGTGAATTAAACAGAAATGGTGGTAAAAAGAGGTTTCAGATGGATTTTATGAGGGGTCCCACCCGAGAAACGGACCCAGTTGGTAGAGGTCTTCATCGCAATAGACACTTCCAGTGAAGATTCCTGTGGTTGCCTCGATCAAGTACCTGAGCCAAGTATTCCCTGACCCTGGAAACGAGATGAACGGCGTGGGAGGAAAACATCCTTCTTCCGCGAATCTCACGTCGTACTCTCGACACTCTTCCTCTTCCCATAGGGTTACATACTTTTTTCCATTCTTCCAGGCCTTACACTTCCATGTCAGATCACCAGAGGTCAAATCCCTTGCGCAGTTGCCTGTATACGGGGAGAAAATAAATTGCGATATTTTGAAATGGTTCGATTTCTTTGAAGGTCTCCAGCAATTAGGAGAAAAGATTCCGGCGGAAGCAGAAGTCAGTCAGAATGGAACAGGGTGCCTCCATGGTTCGTCGGCATCGATGGACAACTTTTTTAAAACCATAAATCGAGGAATTTATTTGTAATCGTTATGAAATATGCAGGTAATTGGCGTAGGATCTTTACAGATAATTTATCGTGGGGACACAGTCTGAGGCAAAAAAGTTTTCGTTAGCTCTGGGCGGGTAGATTTCAAACATTCATGCATACTTTTTTTGGCGACGCTCTCAATACTTGTCTATCCACAAATGAACGGGGAAGACACCTCAGAATTTAAAAGTTAATGGACACAAAAAAATACAAACATGAATATGATCCATGATTTCGTTCGATCCCTGAGGGTCTTCTTCCCAATGGTTCCATCCTGACGTTCAGTGCATAATGGTTTACAAGAATGGGTCAGCATAGGATTTTCGCTGTTTGAATAGAAATGTCTATCAGCTTTCAAATCAGGTAATTAGACAAGCGATTTCCCTACTTTTTCCAGCAAAATAAAAGTTTTACAGGGTATCAGCTGGGGCCTAGCTTGTTTGAAACTTGATCCAATAGTACCCACAGCTGAAATGAAAACTCGTATGCTTACAGGCAGGGTTTCGGAACGGAACAAAAACCGGAACGGAACGGGAAAAATTCCTGGAACGGAACGGAACACGGAACTCTATTCACGGATGGCCGAGGAACGAAATACTGGAACGGAACGAAATTGATTACTCCCGAAAAGGGAATAATGTCGCTCCGTTCCGTTCCAAGTACCCAGACCATTTTTTCCTTTGCAATCGCGAATTTTAAAGAAAGTTTGTGGGGTATCACGGATATGATGGAAAAAATTTATGTTCGTGCTAAATTTCCCTGTGGAACAGTGGAACGGAACGGAACACAATGGAATGGAAGTATTACATGGAACGGTACGGAATGAAATTAATCATCGTGGAACGGAACAGAAACCGGAACACATGGGGTTCAGGTGGAACGGAAATGGAATGCAGAACAAAAAACATTTCGTTCCGAAGTCCTGCTTACAGGATTGTTTTAGTTCTTCGGTCGAAGGTGATGCTTACGAAATTCGTTTAAAGTCTTCCGGCGCTCTCGAGGAAAGATTCGCAGTGGTTGAATGTACACGAATCGCCCTCCTCTGCTCTTCTCCTTTCTACACGTTTTACGGACGGATTCAGAATGATCAAAATTCTGATGAAGGGTTTTGTCGGCTGTTGCACTCACTCTTTGGTGGCACGCGTTCTGGGCCGTGAGGATCGTGAGAGAGGAACACGAGCGAGAGGGACAAGATCCCCGAAACGAGGAGAATCCCGAAGAATATGGCGAGCACTTGGAATCTGCGGAGGGAAAAGGAGCTGGAGAAACGACTCATAATATCCAAAGGCAATCCTTGTCGGGTGTGTCGTGTCCATGCTGGAGAACATCGGCACACTTCTCCCAGATATAATTACTCTAAACGGGCCTAACACACCTGTTTCTATTTACACCATCGTTTACCCCCTGTGATTGCATGCAAAGTGCAAATGATAAGGAACGAAGGGGATAAACCGGGGACACGTTCAATATGAAGAGAACACGGAGTTCCAGAGTCGCATCCCAGAGCATGCGAGTCGATGGTAGAGGATTCCGATTTTCCTTATCGAACGATAGTTTCACTCTCGGCATTGCGTAAGTTCTTTTTTTTTCTCAGTTCCTTTTTCTCAGGACGAAGTCTACTTTGTCCTGAGAGTGGTTGGAATTTTTCCATTTCTCCAATGAACGCTCTTATTAACAGGGAGCTTCGTCTCGTTGAATTTCCCTCAAACTGCAGACACCCTGAGGATGCGAGGTAGACCTCGTTTCCACATCGCCCATGACTCGAAAATCAGAGCCCGAGGCACTTAAACCCAGCAGCTCCAGAGAGGTCCCCCCCCCCCCACCCCACCCCACCCTCCTTGACTCATGTAGGGCTCACTGCACAGGGTTTCTTGAGGAAACCATCACCTGGGCTGGGTTTCGGAAACACTAATTTTCATTCCGATTGCTGTGCATTCATAGTGTAGCCGATATATCACGTTCTAAAACTTTCATCCAGACTGGACCAGAAGGACGGCAAAGAGAAGTACAGTATTTTTACCTCGACGTTATTGATATTGAATCTCTCTATGCCCAGGTTGCACCTACAGATCCTGTCCATGCGCACGAGGAAAAGAAAGAGAGACAACTCCGTGTACCGAGATAGGGTCCCTCGTTCGTCCCACTCGAACGCAACTCTTGCAACCGCTATATAAGAACATAATGGTTTATAATACCTCGTAGTTCACCGTTGACCCCATCCTTCGGCAGTGGGTGACAAAATCGTATAGCAAATACAGTACCCAGCAAACAATTTGAAACACATAACGTCGAATTAACGTTGAATCAACATTGAATAAACGTTCGGAACGTTGATACAACGTTAGTCCAATGCAGCCTTGTTTGCTGGGTAGTTTCTTCGAAGCACTGTTAATTCGCATTGCATTTGCATTTTGTCCTATCGGATTTGGACGCTTTTGCATTAACAGACAAGGAACAGAGAGAGCTCTCCATACAAGGTAATTTCTTTTCGCAAATTGCACTAAGGGGCTCCGATTGCACGAAGAGCCTCTGAGGCGCCTCTTTGTGAGATAACGTTACAGAATACATCCTTGCGAATGAAGGCTAATGGAGGCGCCATTAGCTCTCATTCGCATAGATATTCCGTGTTTTCTCAAATAAGATGATTCCTCCATGAAAGTAAGAGGCCATGAGATATGAGAGTAAGAAAGTATTGGTCTGTCTGAGCCAGGATGTAACGGGAAAAAATGTGCCAGGGAAAGGGTTAAACTATTTGCCATTTTTGTTTTGTTGCCCCCAAGACTCTCATTTTCCTTCGTTGCGTAAATTTGACTTTCCCCTAACCAATGGTATAGCGAGGGGGGGGGAGGGGCCCAAGTTTGGTTCCCCCTTCGGCGAAATCCTGACTACGCCACAGGCCCCAATCCCTGGATGCAGTTCATTCCTAGGATTACGACTGTTTATTCTAGTGGCATCTACAGTATATTTCCCTCGAGTGCTTTCCATTTACAGTAACCTCACATATTGTCAATGAGATTGGCTACAAGGCTGACATACGCACGTACATTTGGGGTTGGGAGTAGTGGAAATGCAGGGAGGACAGCGACCTGGCATGGCTCTGGGATTGGCTTTCCCATTTCATTTTCCTCACGTTTAACTATGCTTTTCTTCGTAGTCCAGCAAGCATGACATGTACCTGTATAATTTTATTTTCCTCGTGGACACATATACATGTGTCCATGTATACATATTCACATATACATAGGATCTATACATCCTAGCGTGCAATACCACCTCCAGATAAGTCATAATCCAAACATCACCAGTAAACAGCAATTACGGAGATCCCATAATGCTGCGAATGGCTTAGGTGGACGGACTACTCTTCATAAGGAATTAGCCATGATCCGCCGGTTCATGGCTAATTCCTCAGCAGGGAAAATGATAGTATCAGGTATCATTCGTCGATCTATATTGGCATTCCTGACAATCGTAATAGCTAGAAGGTATAAGGCCAGCTGTCAAAGCACTACACGCAGTTCCCAATACCAAGATTTAAATTAATGCAGAAAGCGAGTAATTGAACTGTGTCCAGCTCCGGTGTTTACCCACTTTCCGTAGATAACAAACCTGTCTGCCTATAGTTCCGTCACTGAACCGGGAGATACAGTTTGTTGTGATTCATTGGTCCGACTCAAAACTACTATACCGGCTGATACTGACATGAAGACTTGAAGAATTATGAAGTCCCAAGTTGAGATTTTTCAGTTGAAAATGGGCGATAGTGTTGTTAGTTCCTACTTACCTACTTAGAGAAACCTCTCCATTTCATGATGGATTATGATAGCCAAATTTGGAAAAAAATAGTAAGGGTAATCGAGAGTGATAATCCAACGATTGCTAGAGAAAATGAAATTACCCTCTTTCATGAATACGATGTCAAGATTAGTGATGGATTCATTGTGAAGCTGATTGGAAGAGAGGAGGGTTGGTAGTTCGCCCTCGATGCAGGAGATGAGTCACAGGGAGGAATCATAGGGAGGAATTTGAAATGGGAAACTTTACTTAGTCAAGGGATGCGTGAACTTTAGTAGCCAGTTGAAGTGTCTTTTAGTCGCCCTGATACGCCCTTACCATCTTCCCCGGGCCAGTTTTGTGGCAAGCAGGGCCGGATTAAGGGGGGTTGGCCGGATTAAGGGGGGTTGGCCGGATTAAGGGGGGAACCCCCCCCGGCCGGATTAAGGGGGGAACCCCCCCCTTAATCCGGACAAAGGGGGCTGTTGCCTCGGGTCCCTCGCTTCCAGGGTGTCCCCCCGAAGGAAAATAAAAACGTCAAGTATTTGTGTAAAGTAACAAGGGGGGAGGGTAGCCCCAAGAATTTACTTGCTCCGGGCCTCGCAACTTCTTAATCCGGCCCTGGTGGCAAGAGGTAGATGTCCGCCGGGGGTTTGAATGAGGAAATAAATGCCGGACTTAGTTGGGTTCGAACCCGACCCCCTGCCAGGGAGTCAAGCTCGTTACCAACTGAGCCACTCACCCATAAATGTTTGAATCCAGGTCAAACGATGGTCGACTTAAAATGTTCACATCATCTGAAGGGCTCCGATGTTGAAATGGAAGAGCAGGTAACAGAAAAGCATTGACAGTATTGAAAATTTTTACTAGGTTTAAAAATTGGACAATAATATATTTAAGTGAATTCTGGAGATATAATGGCGTTATGATGATGCCAACCAGTGCGATTCGTGGAAGAAAAACCTGGGGTCATTGTCTTCAAAATCAAGAACTCATTTTGCTATTAATACGAGCGGGAAACACAAAAGGTGATCTTAGGTCAGCTTTGTCGTTTGATGAGTTCCTGAAGAGGCAGGTGACTAAAGAAGAGTGATAAAGGAACAGTCCCATATTGACACTTAACACAGATCGAAATCGCTCAAAAGAGGAGCGGAAAATGATACTTCTGTTGAACACTTGAGGGAGAATGGAAGTGCATTCAGTCCGAAAAGAAAAGTATCAGCCTGATGAATTTTTTCGCCTTGCGAATTTCAGAAGTTCACCAAAGAGCATCTAGCTCACTCAGTGCGTATCGGGACAACGTAGAATAGCCTACATCTATTGACTTTCCATTCTTGGCAACTGCATCGGTACTAACTGGCAATACGAATTCGAATGCTCCAGCAGTCGTCTTTGAGGCAAAAGGACCAAGGGGAGTGGCACCAGTTCGCGAACAGGGAGCCAGTTAGCGAACGAGGGTCATGAAATGCGATTTGGCCTTTTGTTACTCTAGTTTCACTCTCCATCCCAAGCATTAATTAATCAATCAATCCATTTTCTGCAGATACCAAAAGCTGGAGCGTGTAACTCGAGAAGCAAAAGGCCAAATCGCATTTCATGACCCTCGTTCGCTAACTGGCTCTCTGTTCGCGAACTGGTGCCGCTCCCCCTAGTGAAGAGAAAGCGCTCGCTGGGGCAGGCACCATGCGAGCGGTGACCTCGGCCACCAACATTTTGTCGGGTGAGAATTTTGTTTCAAGTCCAAATGTGCGATTTTTAACCATGGCACATTCATGTCATTTTCATGTCATCAGCAAAATAATTTTCTCAAAATAACAGATCGAATATTGCTCACGTATCTGTGAATGTTATATTTGACTCCGTATACTTCGTAATTTTTTGTCTTGATGCAGCGGACTTCAATAAAGCCCATGTCTCAAAATTTCAGTTTTGGACAAAGTACAATATGATTCCTACCAGACGATATGCAAGGACTCTCAGAAATTGTGAACGAATGTAAATTGCATTTTCTCTGCGCCCATCGCATGGATCGAAACGATATATTCAGCATTGAAAGCATAATTTTTTGGGGGATTTTAAAAATTACATATCGCTCATTGCACAAGAATCAGTATGGCAGGAGTGGCGACAATTTCTCTTAACAACCGCTCATTTTGACATTTCCGTCGACGCAGCTTTGTTTGTGTGGTGGCATCACATGTTTGATGTTTTTTGTGCATTCTAACACAGTTCCTGTGGTCTTGTGGTCGCATCTGCTATGTCTATTGTGCTTTTAATGCGGTTTTTTTCACATTGAAAGAATACACTGAAATTTAATATGGGTGATAATTGTTTTGTGTTGTTCTCGATAAACAAATGATTTTCATCGAAATTTATGCAAAAAAAAGAGATGTTCAGAAAACTCTTTCCGATTGATCTTATTGCAACCCATCATGTTCGTTTCATAGGTTTCAAATTTCTCAAAATTCTGCTTTCAATGCTGTATAGTTCGTTTCGATCCATGCGGTGGGCTCCGAGAAATTGCCAATTTAGAGTTGTTCACAACTTATGAGGCGCCCTGTACTTCAATGTTACGTGCGCTATGGGATGTCTTGGCCATAAGCCAGAGGAGGCCTCTCCCCCAAGATTCTGGGCAGAAATCAACTGTCAGAGAGAGGATTTTGTTCGTCTTACATCAATTTAAAAATTTGTACAACATTTCTGAGATTTTTCCTACGGAAATTGGCGGTACTCAATGGATATTTCAAAGTTGTATGGGTAAGTATCGAAAAAATGACATTTTGGGAAGCCCTTTGCCTCCCCTGACGAGCTGCCACAGTCCCAGCTGTAACTTTTCACAAGTGAGAGAATAAATAACCCATACCAAAAGCAGAAATTCTCTCAGATTTGTACTCCAAGCGCTAAGAAAATAAAGCACGAAAAAGGATTGCTAAGACTTTTCAAGGGCAGTATAAATGCCCTGACTTAACCAGACAAAGAGAATGGGAAATAAAAGAGCAGGCTCAAAATGATCACAATTTAATATAGTTTTGGCCACTAGCTATTTGTGGTACAAAAGAACATCTGCATAACATACTGGTGTAGTAGAGATTCTCTGCAAGCATATTGGACACAAAGCAAAAGCACACCAAAAAGAAGCAAGATAGGAGTGCAATAATGAGAAAAAAGAATACTCTATGATGAACACCCAAAAGGTAAGACACTTTGGCATGATTCTTATTGGTTATGTCCTCATAGACTAGACTGGCAGGACTATCAACACCTGGAATTCCTTCATCCCATGATAAAATGACAAAAAGAAGATGAGAAAAGAGAAACTCAAAAGAAAGAAGAGGTAATATAATATCAATCAGAAGAGGATTTTGGAGAAGCCTCATCTTCATCAGGATCTTCATCATCATGCAGCATGGTGTCCATCTTGGGAAGAGATGGAATCTGCACACTGCTACTTCTCTCCAACTGCAAACATAAACATAATAAAAATTGCCTAAATCTCATTTCATTGAAGCTCAAACACTAATTTTGAGAAAAATAAAGGCTTTCAAACAAGAATGAGATGAGACATCTCAAGAATAGAGTCAATCTACAGGGTGGCCCAAAAAAAAGGGCACATTTCAATGCACATTTGGTGTGATGCTTTCAAGGAAATGTTTGCTGGTTACATGTAATGGAAAAAAGAAAGCCTTACTTACAGTATATAATGCTTTTTTAGACTTGAAATATCTTAAACAATGACTTTAAAAATTATTGAATTTTGATGATGAAAAATGGGCATTGCATTCACCAACTCAACCTAACATCCCTTTGATGGCCCAACACTCACAAGAAGGGGGAAGGGAAACACTGACCTCAGTAGATGTCATGAGGATGATTGGATGCACCTGTTGCAGTAGGCAGTTGTTGAGTACAATGCCAATTCAACAACTTAGGATATTTAGGATATTTAAATTCTGAAAAAATCATTTGTACCTAAGACTTTCTTCTTTCCATAACATATAAGCAGCAAAAATTTCCTTGAAAACAACACGCCTAAAATGTATATTGAAAAGTGTGCCCTTTTTTTTGGGCCACCCTGTAAAACATCCAGTACTGTATCTCACTGATCCTGAGTAGTATTGAGTCAGTAACTTACTTGAAAATCCATTAAAAACTTTCCATAAAGGGCTTTCTGCCTCCATACTTCTGCAAGTCAACTCAAGTGGATATTGTATTTTTTTCTGATTTAAAAGTAATTTGCATATTTGTTGCAAAATAAATAGAGGGGAAATTCATTTAAACTTATTAACAATTCTTCAGAATTGTAACTTAAGAACATTTCTTCTATTTTTACACATGTTAATAACAGGTAGCAGCAGAATTCTTCAAATATAACTGAAAAAACAAAATATCCTTTTCAATTGATGTGCAGTGAATTATAATTCTCCAGAACTACATGTTCTACTGTATTGTAATGAGAAACCAGGCCAGCTTTTTCAGCAGAGGTATATGAAGAGAAACTGTACAACAGACTGGATTATGGGTAAACTTTTCCCCACATCAGGCAAATCATGAGATAAGGAATACTAAAGGATCCAAGCGTAATTAAGCAAGACTCTGAAAGACTACTACTCTCAAAAAGCAAAGAAGGTGCAATAGCATCAATGAAGATTCTTCATCACTAACATCACAATATCATGACTGTCCATAACATATATCTCCAAGGCTGCTCCCATGGTCACATCAAACAGCACTGTCATCTGTTACATGAGGAGCAGACATGTTTGTGCCATCCAAGATTTGAAAGTCATAGTTTTCATACTTCCTTTCAAGTATACTTTCTTTCTGCTAAAGTTGAAGCACATTTTGGCTCATCATCAGGGTTGCATAGGTATGCAGCATAAGCAATGCATTAGGATGAAGATGTCAACATTAGTAAGTAATAATAATAATTTTTAACATTTCACAAGTATGCAATGAAACGAGAGAATATGTTCTAAGTTATAAAAAAAAAATTGCATTATTGTTAACATAGCAGAGCCTCTTTTTGGTAGGGTGCCTAAAAACCAGCAAAAAATTATTTGTTTGATTAAGCATATCTTGAAAGGCTTTTGCAACCAGTTTTGTTACAACAAAGCATCAGGCAGTTGATATGTCAAGATTTCTCATAATTTAGCTAGAGTCTGCATAAGAACACAGATTCTAGGATAATAACTGCAGTGATTAACACCAGTTACTTCATGGAAAGTAACTTTCTAAGGCAACTAGTGACTTTTCTGTCTATTTGAGCTGAGATGAAAAATACCAATAAAGTCAGGTGCTCATTTGTGTCAATACAGGCTGCATCCTGTGCACACCTTGCTGTCATTGACTGGCCTTTCCCTAACCCTATAAATTGCATACAACCACTATTTATATTGAAAACTCATGAAGAACATGTCACACTAATAACATGGTTGAGACTCCCATGATAAAGTGTCTGAAAGTTGCTGCTGCGGATTACATTCTTGATTCCATTGTGCTCCTTAGCAATTACAGATAGCTATCACTTGAAGCCAAAGAAGGATGATTTGGCTTTCATCAGCCCAATTACTTTCTGACTTTCCTCTCAACCCTTTACTTCCTGAAAGTCTAAAAAAAAATATTTTAACACACCCACTGACCTCCATGTGCAATCAGTGTCAAATGCTATCAGTCCAGTTCGAGTTCTTGTCTGGCCAGTGTTCACATCAAAGATGAGGCATCCCTGATTTTAAACCAGTAATAGAAACCCTTTATCAGGAGCTAATGAAGTTTTGCCCATGACCAGTGATTCCATGATCAGGCAAGAGAAAGTTCTTCCTTATTGAGCTCATTTGGAGAAAAGTGAAGAGAACACTGAGGTTAAAAAGGTCTAGTTAAAACACAAGAGCCTTAAAAACTCAGATGCACTAACTATGACTGGCCATGTGCTTGATAACATTCTGGCCAACAAATTGGGCTCATGCAGAGAATGAGGAGATCAGATTATATTTGGGGATCGACAACACCATGAGCCACATGACTGTGCCTCTGGGAAGAGGCAGTGATTTAGAGAATGGAACAGAACACCTCCTCCTACCCTACAAATAGGGGTAGAAAGAGATGCTCCTTTGTTCCAGGGTGGCTGATTTGATTAACACTTCCCACCTCCATTACCCCCTCATTAAGTGAGTGCCACATGGATCCAACAATCCATAATTTGAGTGAATATACTTAAACCTTTTCAGTGCAGAGTTTTAAACCATCCAGTGCCCTCCCTGTACTGAGTTTTTTTACATGCACACCAGGCTTGTGCTTTTATTCAATATATCCAATTGCTGCGAGAATTTATTGGAAATCAATGTTGTTCACAATCACAATGGCCTACTGAAGTGTTAGCCAAATTTTGATGCACAAATTGTGTTACCAGAGGAAATTTCTGGTGCTTCAGTTCATAATATTTCAGAAAGTAGGGCATGATGCAAAGTGCAATGCCATACTCCAGGCATATATAATGTGAAGATTTCATTTTCTTTACGTGCTATTTCATAGGGCTTCACATACGACATCACCATATAGCATTCACCTCGTAGGCAGTATCAGGAACAAAGGTAGTTAAGTGCCTGTCAGGCAAACAGAGCAGCACTACTGGATGCTATGACTGCCAAGTGAGAGGCTGACCATGACAAGTTGTCATAATTGCTTTTATTTCTATACTCTTCTGTCACCTAATGTGAAAAACTTGCACCACTAAGAAGGAAAAGTTCTTAGCATTACATAATAGTGGTCAGAAAAGCTGTCAACTAAATTTGACTGCCACACTGATAGAGGGAAAATGTTGATGCACACTTGCCAACAGTTGCACTGAAAGGGTTAAGTAGAATCTATAGTTGTAAGGTGATAAGGGGAGGTCCATCTGCTATTGGTTTTCCCTTCTCTGTATGGCAGCAATAACTCCTCTTTTCTCTATTTCTGCATAATTCACTTTTGATTTTGTATACATCTGTGATGGATTCTTTCAAAACCTGACATGCCAACAAAGTACAGCTGTTGCTTTTCAGTATCTTCTATGCTTTTTCCTGTTTTGCTTTGCTTTGTTCTCCTTAGGATTAAGCTCTCCTATTAACTTTTATGTTTTCAAAACATCTATTTTCAACTAGAAAATGCAATTAAGAAAAGAAGAAAAACAAAGATGAACAAGACAAAGGAAAATACCTAAACAAAGAGAGCACTCCAAAATAAATCCCTCATTTTTATGCAGCAAAGGACCTGAAAGTTGCTTTATTGGAGGCAAAAACTGGGCAAATCTAGAATTACGAAAAAAAAACTTTTAAAAAGTGAGTAGAAAGTAAAAACTGAAGAGAAATTCTACTTTTGACATTCTTTTTTACTTTTAAGGCACTTGATAGTAAGCAAAATATCTATTCACTATTCAGTCAATCATTCATTAATTCCCAACAGCTGATAAAGGTGAGAATTTGCTATCTATGAGATTTAGGCTTGCAGTGCTTTAGGCAGTCCTGAAACATGAGCAGTAGCTGACACATTTTGCGTTCATGTTATCAGATGACACCTTAGAATGAAACCAACAAGATTGCTGCTCTACAGTGGAATAGTTGACTTAGGGTTTGTTTGATTACTTGTTTGATTACTACTCCTTAACACATTTTTCAACATGCCCCATTCCCCTAGCAGTAATTTAATGTTATCAGCATCAAGTCACTTTCCTTTTGCATAACCCAATAAAGGGAAAAATGGATGATGAGCCAGACCATGACATTCATAACATACTCACTGGGGAAGAGGGAATGACAGTGACAGGAATAGGTAGATGGAAGTAAAGCTTACCTTCCCTGATTCTGGGTCATTCTTGTCATTTTCCATGAGACTCAAGATGAGAGAATCCCGGCGAGAGCGAGACAGGATTGGAGTATCAGGAGGCTGCTGCTCATGTGCCACTGTTGACTCGTGTGGCATCTGTAATTCCATATAAGGTATAAGTACTACTCAATTCTCTTCGTGTCCATGAAAACAAAGATAGTACATGTCAGTACACAGAAAGAATAACACAATGATTTCTTCTGAAATGTCATGAGACAATGACGAACTTAATGAAGGTAAGCTCATAGTAAAGGAGAAACTGGGTTCATATGGGAAGGGCAACATAAATTAATATAACAAGAACCAAAGTAATTTAGCCTTAGGCATCACAGGGCTTTGATGTGAATAAATAAAGATGAGAGAATGATACCATGCAATATGCCATCAGTTAGAAACACTTGCTTTCTCTAGAGAACATTAGGATCTTTCAAATATGGATTCTTCTGCATCCATTCTCCCAACTATGTGAACCATTTTTCAGAAACGCATAGGTAAAGGATTCTAAAATGCTATGTCCATATTCACACAATAAAGGCTACTATCAGCACAGAGGTAAAGTTGACAAACAAAACCCAACATCCTCTTTTAATGAAAGCTTTATTTAATGAACTTTACAGATTAAGGAGATTCTGTACTGTTTGGCAAGGATGGAGTGAATCTGCATTGATGATTGCCTTCTCATTGAAAGCACTGGATTATCTGTAGTTATGCAGACATGCTAGCAATTATCGACAGCAATGCATTTTATCTTGATATATTGATTGGAGAGATGGAGAAGTAAAAATAAGTATGCCGTCACCAACTCTACAGCATGAAATTCAATATATTTTTTGCTTCATGCTAGGATGAATTTGAACTTTTTGAGGAGCAGTAAAGTGTATATTCATTGTATTATAATAAAGGATATTGACAGGCAAGAAATAAGCCCTAAAATCTTTCTTAATTTTATGCATAACATGTAAAAAATACTAAGTGTACTATAACCCATCATAAGATTTAGCATATCAAAGATACTCAATGCAATATGACCACACATAATAACAGCATGTTGAACTCAAATTAAGTTTAGCACTGAAGCCTTGATATTTATTTTTTTTTAATCTGCTCCTTATCTGCTAAATGCTTATTCCTTTCAAACACACTTCTCAAAAGGATAAAAAGTATTTGAGACAAGGGAGAGACAGAGGCACTTACAAACATGGGAGCAGCACGGAACATGTAAGAGAAAGGATAGTAGATGAGATTGAGGAAGGTGGGTGCATAGAGGTCAGCATAACGAGAGACTTGGCTGGCAAAGAAGGTGAGCTGAGATCCAGCTCGAAAGAGGCTCCCAAGTATTCCATATGAGAGATCCATTTCATGAGCCACTGACCGAATGGCTCGCTGCACTCGTCCCACTTCACCTGGCTTCCCCCTGGTGCTGCTGTCTAGGTCCCTGCATCCAATCACTCATTTTCTAACCATTCAATCTCAGCAATAATAACCTCTCTAAAGAAATTAAAAAAAAAAGACCACTGACAACCAGTGACCTCTTCATCATTCAAGAAAATGTCAGAGTGGCATCAAATGTGCCATATTCAATAATATGACACATAGTGCAAGTCAGCCAGGCTCCAATTATTAGTCAGAAAGTTTCTAAAATGAAGAGATTCCAAATAGTCAGTAAATGATTTTTGTAGCCACATGAGCTCACCTATATAAGTCAGCAAGGATTATATCCAAGTGCTGGAGTTTCTGGTAAAGACTGCATTTCTCTGTCCAAACTGTGAGTTCCTGGACTAATTCTGGGACCATAAGGAATGTCCTCCAGCCACGGATCTTTTTCGACTTCAGAATGTCCCCATAGATGTGGTCACCAATGTATAAAACATCTCTCCCCTTGGCCCCAATCAGATCACTGAACACATCACAAGAACCTGGAGAAAAGAGGGCATATCCAAGTAAAACTTCTGTTCTTGATTCCCAGAATAATAATGCATTGTCCCATTTGGCAATAACAATCTACATATAGCACTTTCACTCTATGAAGCTAGTAATGGAGCATGAAGCTGGCTCTGGCTTTTCAGTTATTCCTTTCATTTCTACATATGCTGTAATTATACCCATCCATATCTTCCATATGACACTGCTGCTGTCATGAGCATTCAAAGACACGATTCTAACCATTGTGCTTCATCAGAATGAAATTGGAGATGCTCAGGTTTGGAAATCTATGTAGAAGACATGTATACACAAGATGGCCAAAGCTACACGAGTGAGAGATAAAACCTCATTTTTAGGGAAACATGCATTATAGGCAGAGTATGAAATCAGACATTCCATATAGAATACCTAGATTTTCTATACATTACCTGAATTTTATACTCTGCCTGTAACATATGCACAAGCAGAAAAAGTCCAGACATGAATAAGTAGATGTAACTGATGAAGTCCTCCCGATTTCAAATAAATGCAAACAGTAAATACTTTGAATAGTTGACACCAGAGCTTTTGATAAGGTTTCTTGACTTGCTGGAGAGGTTTTGCTGTTGCATAAACTGCCCTCAAGATATAATTTTGCTTGCTGCATTGGGCATCTTTATTCTTTGCAATAAATACTATAGCACAGGTCAAAAACAACATAATCTCAAATGAAGACGATTGTTTCATGGAGATTTGCCCAAAGACTAATCCCAAATAGTTATACTTGAGAACACTTCCATCCCATGAATGCCTTGACTTTGCAGGGCAGTAAGCTCTTAAGGGCACAAATGCCCTATACTATTTCATACAAACAATAAATCTTACTTTATTTGTTATGTGCTACCACCAAATCACTAAAATGTGTCCACTTATATGAAAAGCAGCTCTTAAATGACACTCTACCTTTGTCCTAACAGTCATCATTACTAGGAGGGGCTGTAATGGCTTCAGAAACAGGCAAAAATTCTATGGAAGATATCATTCCAGCAAGATCAATGTTTTTAGGGAGGAACACAATTCCATAGGCATTAAAATTATACCTCATGGTTTCCTCTTTACAATAAAACCAATTCCATCAAAATCGACTAGTAACTTTGGAAATTAAAACTTCTATCAAATTTAGACTGTTTTTACAAGACTTGGTTCTGCCCCAAAGTTTTAAACATGTGCATCTTAAAAACTAGTTGCTGTATGATGCTGAAATTTGGCTGCATGGCTTTCTCACCAATACCATAGAAGAAAAAAAAAATTCAAGATGGTAGTATCACAGACCATTAGGTGAATAGCACTGAAAGTTCCATCTGTCCCATCAGGACCCTCTGTACATGTGGGAGAAAAGGAAAGCCAATATAGGTTTTCCCAAAAAATTTCAGCATAAGTTGTTTCAATTTTGGCAGCACTCATCTCTCCTCTTGATTTTCTGGTTCAGTTTCAGAAAAGTCTCTTGATTTCAGCATCTAACATTTCAATTTCATAAATATGATAGAATCTTCTGTGTTCAGTGAATGAGCATGGGGGAAAGGAAAGGAGAAGGAAAGGAAAGAGCCAATGTTTCCATATATGAGACTTTCTGAGAACAGAACACATTTTCTATGGATATCATGGTCTGGTGCTTATCACCACAAAAACATAGGATGTTTTCAGTGAAGAATCATTCTTCCATTAATCAAAGGAATGTGTATGGACATTGAAGCAATTAATGCCAACAATACACTCTCCTTCGGCATCTAATAAAGTTTGTGCATGGTGAAACCATGTGAAGGATTTCAGTGAGCTATATGCCCAACTGCTGCCTCTCCTATCTCAGGCAGTCAGACTTTACTGCAAGCATTATCCTGATCTTCATCATCCAAGTTCTGTCTAAGTTTCAGAAAGGTGCAGCTCATGCTTGAAAGCTGCCTTGAATGCAGAGTGGGCATATTCTATTGGATTCAAGGAAGTAGCATATGAAGGCAGAAACTTCACATGAACGTTAGGAAAATCATCAGAAACTGAAACTTGTTTTTGAGGTCTAGCATTATGCATGATACCAAGAACTGGCACATCTGGTGGTCTAGTCATGTGTATAGGTCTCAGGAGCTCCTCAAGAATCCCTGATGACAGAAATAGGAGATTCCCTGGTGCTGCTGAAATTCAAACAGCAGATGCCGAAATAGAAAGGCTCTTGCTGAAATTAAATCAGAAAACCGAGAGTAGGGCGCACTGCCAAAACTGAAATTATGTATGCCAACACTTTTCAGGAAAACCCATATTTGCCTAGGTAAAATCAGTAGCTGAATGCTTACCTCCAGAATAAACACAGCCCTCTTCCAATGGTCCAGTGTGCATGCCCAGCTTCAAGGCACCAGTAGTGGGGTTCACCTGCCTCAAGATGGTGCCATCCTCAAAGAACAGGGGCTTGGATGCATTCACAACTGTGTAGTCAAAATAAGCCTTCCAGTCCTTTCCATCTTTTTCCTTAAAAAACAACAGTTTCACAGAATTTCTCAATAGTCCAAAAGGAGCTTGACAGAATTTGTAAATGACCTGTATTATAACTCAGAAATTCCTCAGATATCAGATGCAAATGACAGCCTGCACTGGAACTCCTATGCGAGCCAGATGAAGAATAGATGCTACATGATATGGTTGGCTCTCTTATCTAGTCACTGAACATCATTCTCCATATTCTTGCCCCAATTACATTTTTGAACAAGATGGACCTTACACATAACACAAAAAACTTGGAAGGGATTTCAGGGATGTGATGAGGTCTGAGGATGTGGCCCTTAGACTAATAACCAACATCTGTCTCAAGACCAATATAATTCTTAAGTGCTTTAAACTATCATGGCTAGTTTAGCAGGCAACACTAAACCTACAGGACAACTAACATCTATTTTACTTTGCACCATATACCTCAATTTGGTCTGAATAAGGATCAGGGAATACCTTGATTATTGTTCATGTTGATATTAAATCTACCAATTCCTTGAGTCAGCTACAGACCTATCAATGAACTTCAGATTAATCAAACAGTGACTTTCAGGTCCAATTCTGTCTTCTATGGTCTCTGCATATAGCTGCACCTTATTTCTCTACATTACCCAAAAAATTTGTGGGCAATCTTGCACATCTCCAATTTGACTCTATATTCCTTCCTGTGTGTAGGCTGGCATATCACTGTAAGAATACACATAACACTCCAGTTCATCGTGAAACAGAAAGCATTCATGGCAAGACCTCCTCAGCAAGTGATAGGTAAATCTCAGTTCAAAACTCTATTCTGAATCTCATGTAAAAAGGAAAGACTCAGGCACAGTTCTGGAGACCTATTCTAAAGCTAAATCTAGGTTTAACTAGGTAACTAATAATATAGGTTTTTCTGACAAATTTCAGCATAAGTTGTTCAAATTCAGCAGAGGTAATTTCAATTTCAGCAGCACTCCTCTCTCCTCTTGATTTTCAGTTCAATTTCAGCATCTGTTTCGACAGCACAAGGGAAACTCCTGTTTTTAGTAATGAACATGGGTATGCAGAGAAGAAAGGGAAAGAGACAGTGTTTCCACATACGAGTTACTTTCTGGAAACAGAATGCATGATCTATAAATAAAATGGTCTGGTGTTCATCAACACAAATGCATAGGATATTTTTAGTGAATTCTTTTATTAATCAAAGGAATGTGTTTGGACATTCAAGCAATTATAGCCATAGATACACCTTCTCCTTTAGCACCTAACAAAGGTTTTGCATGGGAAAACTATGCAAAGAATTTCTGATAATTTATGTACTCAACTGCTGCCTCTCCTATATCAAGCAGCTTTTTTGCCCAACATTGCAGCAAGTTTTGTCCTGATCTTCATCATCCAATTTCTGTCTGAGTTTCAGAAAGATGCAGCACACACTTGACAGCTGCCTTGATTGCAAAGTGGGTCTGTTCTGTTGGATTTAACAAAGTAGAATATGCTAACAGAAACATCATGTGAAAGTTAGGAAAAATCATCTGGAACCAAGACTCGTTTGTGAGGTCTAGCATTATGCATGATGCTATTAACTGGTTCATCTGTAGGCCTAATCATGTGTACATGTCAGAGGAGTCCCTCAAAGAATCCATAATGTGCCAACAGAAGCAGGAGATTCCCAGGTGCTGCCAAAATTGAAACGACTGCTGCCAAATTTGAAACAGCTTAAGGTGAAATTTTTTGGGAAAACCTATAGTATGGGAGAAACCTAGGGCAGACACAAACATGCACATATGCACAAAACCCAAATTTATGCTATTATATCAGTAGCTTTGTCTATTTTTTGGGATAATTGAAGCATTCCTGAGGATAATCACCATACAGAGAGCAAATAATGTTTCAGTTGGTATATCTTCAACAAAAAATAGCTATGAGGGATAGGGTCACCATTCCAAGACCAAACATGCAGATCTCAGACCATTTTGCCTATTCAGTTGACTTATTCACAGAGGAAATGTAGAATAATTAACTCCAATTGATAGGAAGATCAACAGTTTAAGTTTGAGTTTCTATTCTTGTAGTAAATGAAAATGTAAATCCTTCCTCAATGTATCTCTGTCAACACTTTTATTTAGTTAATGCAAGGCATATAAACCCACAATGGGTATAATTTATCAAATTAAATTAGTAATTTAATTTTCTAAATTAAACTATCTTTGCTAAAGCAAGTTATGACTTTGGCTTACAGTATGTAGCCTCCTCTATGATTTCTCATTGGCTAATTGAGAGTTCTCAAATGGTAACAGTTCAGCCTGGTATTTCACCAATCCCTCATCAAGCAACTATTTGATTTCCCTTTTCATCAACAGTCATCCCTATGTGCATGGTCTACTTTTTCTCTAGGCATGAGCCTCTCTGCAGAATTTTCACAATAAAGCTGAAGAACAAGAGATCCCTTGTTTCCCATAGAACAGAAAAAAAAAATCCTCCATTTCTCCAGTTCTACCCATCACCATTGCATCTCACCTCCCTCCACCACATAGAAAATAGGAATGGGAAGGGTACTCCTGCAATAATACAATTTTTAGCATTCTCATAACATGGATGTGATATAATGATTGTGGCTTCTATAATAGTTTCAAGTCAGAATATAAACATGCACTAATATAACATCTTAGTTACCAGTTCATCCATTCTTAACCATTCCATTACTGAGGTCTTCAGTGATCACTTTCTTACAGAGGGGGTAGTTGAAGTACCCCAACCAAATATTGCTATAAATAAATAAAATGTTTGCACTAGTAAAATCAAAATCACATTTTAACCCTTTAGTGCCACGTGGCCAATCCATAAGCTAAACTATGAATATTTCCCATGGGTTTGGGTTAATACACTTAGATATAAAAAAGCACAAATTAATGTTTTACAAGTTTTATTTGTGAAAAATTAGTTTAACACAGGGTACCACTGGGACTCCCCTTGGTAACAGAAGGTTTAATACATTCCACTGCTGTTCTCAAGTACAGCCAACTTGACTGGGACATTATTACTTCTATTGCACAGGGTGTCCATTTAAGTGGGAACATTAGGGGAATTATTAATTTGCTTTTATGCTCTGCTCTCAAATTGCATCAGATGTCTTTAAAAAAGTTCAGAAGAGGAATGTAAAGAATGTCCTAATAAGTGTTTCAACAGCAATGGTGGACATGTAGAACATATAGCATAATTGTAAGTTTTTTCCATATGTTTCTACTTAAAGGGGACACCCTATAGAACTATCAATACAGACTTCATTATCTATTGAATTTATCAGATTTATACTAATGCACAACATACCCTACTTTCCTTTACTGTTCATATTTTTGCAACTGAATGGAGGCAGTGAATTATCAGATAGGATATGGATATTAAGCAGATAGCTGATTAGAATAGCCCCACTAGTACCTTTTATCCCATATTTCTATAAGCATAGTTGTCAAAACTTTCTGAGCTGGGGAATACATCCAGAAGCAACCAACCCTATGGGCCACATAAAAAAAAAAGACTTACTAATACAAATAAAAAATATTCCACCCTAATTTTGCTTTCATGGATTACATGTCAGGCCTTTGTGGACCGCAGTTTTAGTACCACTGATCTATAGGGATCCAAGCATCCATTTCATAATAAAAATGATACCAAATTCAGTATCCATATAAACCTAGTCTGATTTGGATATTCACCTCTGGTAAAGAGTCTATGGTCATTACAGGATGCAGAAACTTGAGTGAAATGAGCCAAATGAAAGACAGGAAGTATGGACCTACAGGCAATAGATACTCAAGGATCTTGGATGTGTAAAAGTAGTCTGAGTTGGTAAGAAGAAAGAGTTTAGCTCCATTCTCTCTCATTCGAGAGAGGAGGATAGGAAGGCGGTCATCACGTAGCACATATTCTTCCAGGTTCTCCAAAGTCTTCTGCTTCAGAGACCCCTTCAGATGCACCCAGTCCACTGCATTCCTCACATCCTGGAAGATGCTCTTGTAGGACATGAAGCAGTTTCCTAGACGCACTCCTTTGGCAGTTCTCCTTTTTAGGAAGAACAAAAAAAATCAAAATGCAGCTAATTTCCAGCCAGAATTCTTCATTGATTGAGTCATTGGAGTAGATGGTCATACTGGTCATTAGTTGTTCCTTGGGAGAAGTATTCAATGATGCAGGCAAGCATGTATGTCTCAGGGAGATTGAAGAGAGTGTTCAAGATATACACACGAGATTCATCAAGTTGGATGAACTTATTTGGGTACAGACTGTATACTTCAGGCCTGATGAGGAGAGGAGAGAACAGCACAAAAATAAGTGGTGCATTCAAAATGCATTGAAGTATTGATCAAAGTAGCACAGCTCCTCTTTCCAATAGCAGCACTGTCATTATGAGTTCTTTACCCATTTTCTCTATAGCTGTGAACTTTCAGCTTTGTATTAAAGTTCATTAATTTTTTATGAGCTTTTTTCAAGTTCAATTAGTTGAATCACCATGTTTAAGCATGGCTAATTTCTCAAGAGAAGGTATTTCAGGTAGTTACTTTTTTTTGCATAAGAAATATATTTTCCTATTACAGGATCAATTGCTATTTTATGATAATGTCTCATAAAAGGAATGCTTAGTTCCTTTCTGAATGCATGAGAAAAATCTCTACCATGTACTACATACTGACTGTGAAGAAAAGTATCCATGAAAAAAATGCTTTACAGTCGTCCCTCGCCACTCCGCGCTTCGACTTTCGCGGCTTCACTCTATCGCGGTTTTTTCAAATATATTCATTAAAAAGTTGATCAAGACAGTGAAAATGACACAGCGCGTGCTTGGTTGTCTGAGTCAATTATACACCCCTGTATTACAATTAAAATAAAAATTAATGTACAGTATTTGAAAAAACCGCGATAGAGTGAAGCCGCGAAAGTTGAAGCGCGAAGTGGCGAGGGACGACTGTACTGCACTTAATGGGAGCATTTTGATGCAAGAAAATCTTTTCTCCTAGACAGCTCTTGAAAATAGAATAATTACATTTATTTCGTAGAAATTCATGTCAATGATTTTCACCAAAGATGAATATAGTTTACATTTGGAATATGTAGTTCAAAAGGAACCTTTGAGTGAGGAAAAATCTCTCCCTCTGTTAAAACTTTTCAATATAGGAACAGGAGTGAAAAAAAAAGAGTGTATTCCCATAATGACTATAGTGGCATGGTTACATAGGACCAGATACCCCATCCACAAAATTTGTCACAACTAGGCAAACTAGCAACTCAACGTGAGGAAGAACCATGTTCACTCTTCCTCACAACATTTTTGTGTATTTTAACAATTTAACAATGCCCCCCATTCCCGAGCCTCTCATATGACTTCCAATATATCAATATGCCCTTGGTTTGGCAAGCAAGTTTTTCTTTCATTTCTGACAAAAAAGGTCATGTCAGTTAGGGTCAGGCCATGCCAGGTCATGGCAAAAAGGTCAGTAGTGGGTTTATCTAAGACATCTAATGATTTTAAAATGGCAAAATATGATAAAGGGCTTTTGTAAAATCATAGCACCAGATGTTTCATGCAAATCACAGCCATGAGGAAAAGTCTAAAAAGAGGATGACGCACCTTTTCAGGAAATGGAATCCATGTACACACACCAAAATATTCCCAAAAGCATCCACTTTGAGCAAATTCCCATAGAGTGTGTCAAACCAGAGGCCTCTACAGAGGAAAGAGGGCATAGTTCATAGGTCTACTTGGGAAAGTTCAGTCTACAGCAAATGATCATGAGTTGTGAAAGGTATCATCCACCTGATGGGGAAGGAGGGATCATAAACGTAATTTTGCAAATCTTCTGGATACCCAATCGAAATCAATCTCTCCCTGATCAGGTCAAACCCCATTGTCTCATATTGAGGACTCCTGTAACCTGTCAAGGATAATATTTACCGAACATAAGCACTTTCACATGATTTGAGAACAGGACTTTCATGAATACCATGGGAATAATACACACACTCGTAAAAGAACAGCTGTCTACTTCAGATTTATTCATCAACCCATCAGCAAAAACCTGAACTTCTGTCATTTATAGGATGGAACATGATTTCTGCAATATTGCTTCCAAGAATCCAGCTGTTCCTCTGAGTGTATCATCTATGACTCCACACTTTTTTCATGAAAAAAATACACAAAACAAATGCCACATCAGTGCTGCTTCATACCTGAAGGCAGATTGCTTGACTATATGCATTACACTTTGCTCCTGCACTTGCAACAAAATTAGAGTTTATCCAAGGATCATTACATGCATGCACCACTGTGTATAATTGCAGATGCTCATTGGAGTCATAGAAGCACAGAAAAAAAGACCACCTCAGTTTAACTGACTTGCCAGACTATCACATCACTGACATTCACATCATGGTTCACTGAAGCAGAAGATGACAAATAGGCTCTAGAGGAAAGAAGTTACACTTATGGCTTCTCTAAACTGTACACACTGTTGCCACCAGACATGCAGCATATATAAGAATGAGAAGATGTCAAGGGAGTGAAGATAAAATAAAAATAAAAAGGATTATGTATGAGTAAAAATTGCTCTAGGTCTATACTTCAGTAAAGAGGTACATGAGAGAATTTATACTCAACATTATTTTAGAATGCTTATTCACTAGTGTCTTGCAAAATCTTGAGTGCCAGCTTTATTGTTGATTATGTTTTGACATGGATGACCTTGTCACCTCTGTGAAAGATAAAGGTACCTTAATATTTTTCTTAAGGAGATTTCTGAAGATAACTCTTAAACTCTCTGCCTCAAGTCTTGGAAAATTAGGTTTCCCAAGGCCATAGGAGACAGAAATAATGTATATTTGAAAATCCAGCTGGTTTTTGCTTTGAACCAATCAAGTTTATATGTGTTTCTACAATATACATACTAGACAAAAAGCCCATATCTCTACTTCTGCAAGTGTCTGCAGGTGTGGAAAACCATGAGATTGAAATTTTGGCAAGTCATGGTTAATTTGCACCAAAGGGGAATGGCTGCTGAATAAATCAATGGAAAATATACATCACCGACACAAAATATGTTCTATCATCACAATTATTGCACTCATATTGATTGGTCAGGGCCAGCATGGATTCAAGCCTTGAAAACTATATGAAGAACTTTTCCAAAGTTGGTGCAAAGGCAACAGATGAATGGAGAGCACTTCGGAAATGAGCCACTTGGGTGAGATCATTTGTGAAAGATGCCAGTGTAAAATGCTTCTCATATAAAGCATGCAGCTATGAGGAAAAGTACAGTAGGCATCAGACGGTGAATACAATTAAAACTATTCTAATATGAAGAAGGGCCATATGAGTTTTATGGCAGTCTAGAAAAGCTCCTCAAATTCGATAAGCTACATTACTAGGGGAAGGGGACCCAATTTCGGTAGCGTATCAGAAACTCTTAACTAGTACCATCTGTACCCCTATCTTCTCATTCCTACCTCTTCACACGAATTTTTCCTCCCTCATACCATATGGACCATGGGGGAGGGGGGGGGGAACATCTCAATACATACACGGAGCTCAATATGGGGACAAATTACGATTACTCCTGCTTAGCCAACGTCTAAGTATCAACAACAAAATGCAAAATGAGGCGGTAGGCAATAGGCAACTTACTGGCAAGAGTGTAATCCATGTCGAAGCCAAAGAACTTGATTTTCTCTAGATGCAGACTCCGATTTACAAACACCCTGGAAGAAAAAATGACAGGGAAGAGATGAAAAACATGGTCGCAACGTCCGAGTCTCGTATTCCTTGACAAGTAACATGTTTGGGTTACGGCCTACCTATGTGACATCTCCCTCTTGTATTGTAAAGGGACGGAGGGGCTATTATGAAGGGAGGTGGACTCGTCAACATGATTCACTTCACTTTCCTCCCGATGCATCATGATGGGACTCATCGCACTTTCTTGCTCACCACGAGTTCTCTTCTGATGACCTAACAATACCGGATGGGATAGATGCCTGCAGCGTTCGAGAGTCTGGGTAAGCGTGCTACCTGACACTCCGTTGCTCTCTGCTTACAATGAAACCGATATTAAGGCATAAAGTCTTTCCTTCTCAACAGTGGAGACCTCGTTTTGTTTCATTGATAAATCCTTCTTCATCCTTCCCGCCCTGCCCCGTACTACTTTCCGAGCGAATTCTGCATAACTGGCGAACATCAAAATTTGCACGAGTTCGTACAAATAAGGCTCTTTTGAATATATAATTACCAGGGATGCGTCTAGTATTCCCAGCCTCTATTCAGTAACATGGAAAATAGGAATAGGGGGTACAAACCTGCCATCGCCCAAGCAAATGAATGAAGGTCAAAATTCCTAGACGCGTCCCTAATAAGATCTGTTTTATGCGGCCCTGGCATCTTTTGCTCGCATTTGGGCGCTAGACTATGACTAAGTCGGGGAACAGACAAATTCTTTTATTGGTCTATTTTCTTCCCTGCAAGTCCGTCTAAATCAAATACCACAAATCCACAGCAACGTGGAAACCACAGCCGACGCAGGCTAATTAATGAACTGCCCTGAAAAACAACAAAGCCCTGAACAAATAACTGCCCTGAAAAACTACCTCCCGAATTTCCACCAGTCTGCCGACACGGATCCGCCTAAGTGCAAGTGAGGCTGAAATAAAGTCAGTGCGGATGAGTGATCGGATTGGACACTACAAATTTCAATTTCCGATGGGATCAATCGTGTTTCTAATTGTTTACTTCACGTCACTTCGGAGCCTGTGGCATTACTTCAGCAGCCTGAGACATTACTTCAGCAGCTTGAACGGAGATTAGGGATCCGTGAAATAAAAAATTGCTTTTCCGAAACGGCATCGCTAGAAAGAAGGCGAAGGACTTTCACAAAACTAATGATGATGGTAGGGCCGGATTAAGAAGTTGCGAGGCCCGGGCAAGTGAATTCCTGTCCCCCCCCCCCCCCCCCCCCCCCCCCCCCCCACCCCCCC